AGCAGACTGTGGTGAGGAATCGAATGAGCAGTGGGCTTGTACTGAATACAGCCTTTGTGATTAGACAACTACTGTTCTTGTATTTTCTGTCAGTGTTTTTGTTCTGGCTGCAGGGTCATTTTGTTGAGGAGGCAGAGGTCATGGAGAACAGCGCCACAGCTGATTCAACCTCCAGACTCATCAACCCTAACAACATATTGCCTGCTTTACGATGTTTCCTTGAGCAGCACAGGAAGTAAGACTACATACTTAATAATCAATCCCATGTCTCTTCCTCTGTGTGAGTGTTTTATACTAATTTTTTCCTGTTGCGCTTTGAAAACGGAGGTCTGTCCACGAGCGTTCCAGTTTAAGCCATCCAGCTAGAGATACCTCAGTGGAAGAAGCCTACTGGGATAGGCTTGGCAACATTATCACTGAGGACAAACTCAAGCTGTGGGATGCAGCGGAAAGGGAATTAAAGCAGTATGAGTGAGTAACACCTACACTGAAAGCAGGAATACCTCTGAATCAGATCAGTCATTTTTGTGTGTGTGTGTGTCTTTCCAGAGAGGTCCTGATGGATATCTCTGAGCTTGTCCCTGAAACTGAGCTCCTGAGGCAGCAGAACACTAAGCTGCGGATGCAGCTGCAACAGATACTCAGCAGTACGTGCACTTATGTTTAAGTTTACAGCACTGTAATCTAGTGCGAATAAGAATAATGATAAAACATAGGGCCTTTACCATCATAGCACAGGGTGTATCAAAAAGAATCACCAAATTTCAAAGTGCTTTAACTGTTCACCGGCATCGAGCGACACACGTACTGTTAGAAAGAGTGAGTTTGATGTGGTGACATTATTACAGCAATGACTCCAGATACTCGCAAAAGTGTGGGATGAGTTTGACAATCACATGGATATATGCTGGGAGGACACATTGAGCAAACTGGAAGTTTTGTATGTAAAACTTTATATTCAGCCACGTATTTTAAAATTACTGTCCATTACTATTAAAATATAGGCTTTTGAAATTTTAAACTTTAAAATCCCAACTGAGCAGAACATCATGGATCTAACATCTTCTCTGCCTCTCTGACAGGTACCCGGAGCTCTAATTAATGAATAATCACTGTGGAGTCCGAGAGCACTGGAAGCGCCTTTGTGTTCATTTAAAAAAAAAAAAAAAACAAAAACACCATTAAATGATAATGTAGTGTGAAATTTTTTATTTATTTATTTTTTACAAATGTAAAAGAAAAATAGTCTTACAGTGTAGTTAATCAAACACATACAGTGTGGTTCAGTGTAAACAACAGTACACAGAGGATGTGTGTGTGGTTCGTCTCTACCCAGCAATGTTAAACAGCTTGTGGCTGAGCGCTGAGGGCAGAGAGAAGAAGAGCAGAACCAGAAAGAGCAGACCCAGTACAGCAACCAGCAGCATCACACAGTGCAGCTTGTAGTGCCTCCAGGCCAGGATACACATCGTCCTCACTGGAGCCAGCAGCCACGACATGCTGGCATTGGGGCGACTGCAAAGACAGATTCATAAATCAAACAGCAGTCATATGTCACTGAAATTCAAAAAAAGCATGTTAGATTGTTAGTAAGTTTAATTTTGATTTTGGAGCTAATTGAGAAAATATGTCTGTAATTAGTTGAATTAACATCCAATAAAATCCAAATAAAATGAAAGCCCAATATCTTTTTGGCTCTGTTTTTGATGCTGCTGAAGGAAATTCCTCAGGCCAATGTGAACTAGTCACTAACTTGATTTGCCTTTTCTGCTGAGCAAGTCGCCTGCAGTAGTCTACAAGCCCTTAGCTCAGGGGTCCCCAATCCCAGTCCACGAGGGCCGGTGTCCCTGCAGGTTTTAGATGTGTCTTTGATCCGTCACAGCTGATTTAAATGAATAAATTACCGTCTCAACATGTCTTGAAGTTCTCCAGAGGCCTGGTAATGAACTAATCATTTGATTCAGGTGTGTTGACCCAGGGTGAGATCTAAAACCTGCAGGGACACCGACCCTCGCAGACTGGGATTGGGGACCAATGCTTTAGCTGCTCTCTTTAGGGGTTGTCATACTGGATCATCTGCCTTCATCTCACCTTATCACCTCGTGATAGGTATGGCACACCAACCCTGTGCATTGTCCATCCTGGTCTTTCCCAGTGAAAATCTTAATCACATCAGGTCTCACTGCCGTCTTGTAAAGCTTGTAAAACGATCTGTGTTCACTACCTCTGCTCCTTGCAGTTTCACTGTTACACCCATCTCTCTCGCTCACACACGTATTCTGTTTCACTTATACCGACTTTCATTCCTTTTTTCTCCAGAGAATACTTCTGTACCAAAAACATAAAAATACATTTTAGTGTACTGGTTGAGGGTTTTGTGTGCAACAAAATAATAATGTTAGTCAAGCATGTCAGTCTATATAGCTATATATATATATGTCTATATCGCTGCAGGCCTTTAAGCCATTCTTATTTCCCAGTCTGGAACTTAGTAAAAACAAATGCGACACTCCTGTCTAAAATAAATAGTAAGTGGGACGAGTTGGATGAAAACGTCTAAGTTAGTGTGTTAGATACCAGCTTAGTCATTCATTTTTTCCTCACTTTTAATATTCTATTAATTTATTTATTTTAACCCAAATCAGATCTTTAAATCTAAATGAATCCTTTAGTGAGGATTTAGTGCTCAGGGTTTTGGCTAAACAATGAAACTGAACTTAATGCTCATCACAGCACGACAGGATGTAAACATTAATGGCATCCCTGTCAGCTGTTTGAGAGCTGTAAACTTCTTTTTGTCCTTTGAGCCCCACAGGGGCAAGAATCATTATAAACAAGAAATGGTAAATCAGCACTGATTATCATCAGCATACTTTTAAGGATAACTAGCACTATGGGGGTGTTATGTTATCAGTGTAATTCAGTCTATTTCAAATTGTCAAAACAAACAATGTATATAAATACACAAACCCAGTGTAAAAACAGGCAAGTTTATTGCAAACAGTGAAACACAGTATCACAAGCAAAGGTTCCAACCACAGGCAAACTAAACGTAAAGGACACCACACACTTTTGTCTGGAGACAAAAACAGAGTTTTCAGAAGTAACCCCCGACTTATTTGACTAATATTCCCATAAAAATCATCTTTACATTTTCGTTAACGTTAAAGACAACAGGGTTGGTGATTTGGTTTGCGTCGAGCTGGAAAGACAAGTCATGCTAACACACATGACCACTTTGGTCAGTTATCACAGTGATGCATGCATATTAACATATACTGTAGCCAACAGTGATCACCTTTACATGTCTGTAACTTTGGAGGATTATTAAACAGACCCTGGTCAAAATGATAATCACAAATAATTAATTTTAATTTTCTCTGGGATTTTTATCAGTGAGGTTTATGAGTCAGAAGACGAGGCTGGAGAGCATTTACATAATTACACACACACATAAAACTCAGGACATCCAGAGGGAAGCTGCTGTGAACACCCGTGCTTGCACAATAACACAATTATAAAAATGAGGGGGAGATTTGAATCATTTGCAAAATCAGTTTTTGTTTTTATTCTTAAGGAGAAATCTTTAAAACTGCAGATAAACTAAACACCACAAAATGCTCATTAATTAAACAATTAATAACTAATTAATAATTAGTAACTAACTTGTTCTATGTCTCACTGAAATTTACTAGGAAAATAGAATTATTTTTGTTTCCTTATTATTATTACTATATAAGTGTGCAAAAACTGCAATACCAATAACAGTTAAAAAGGTAACACTTTAACCTCATTTAGTATTTATAAGCACTGAATCGAAATTTCATATACAGTTTATAACAAACTCTAATGAAAATATAACTTCTCGTGAGAGCAGTGACTAGAGAAAGCTGGGTTATAAACAGATAAAGAATTACTATATCATTACGTAATAAGTTATAGCTGTTGACAAGTACTCCACATCAATAATGACTTCAAAGGTCCTTAAATTTCAGAGATATTTCCATCTGCAGTAATTTATATTTACTCTGTTCTGAGACATGATGCAACACTCATTATGTCTCGGAACATAATGAGCAAACAGCATTAGAAGGAGGAACTGGAATGAATGTGGTTTGCAAAGCAGCTTGCCACATGGAGCAACTGTAGGCTGGCTAAAACATCCTAAATAGAATCTAATAGATAAATATAATCTGAGCCATTAGCTGTGGGCTAATTGATATCAGTTGATCTGTGGGGACTTTGAGGCCTGCCTGAACTAACACTATGTTCAATTTCTCCACATTATAACACCACACCACAAACCATTTATTCAATATAGTGCTTATAAATAAAATGGTGGCAGGGTTAAAGTGTTACCCAAAGTTTTGTCCATTCCCTCTTAAGCTAAAACAGTAACAAGAGCTCATATAGTATGACTTGAAAGTGCAATCGCCTGACCACTAACCCTGGAACATATAAAATAAACTGAAGGCTGAAACAAATACAGAACCACCCACTTTCATGTAGCATTGCTTCAGAGGATTTTCAGGTTCGATCGGGGGTTACTTTGTGCCATGTAATTTCTGTGTAATCGTTTAAAAGGATGGAGTCCAAATATTGTGCATTAGATTTGTTAGCTGTTTTGCAGAGTTGTTAGTTGGATCTTCATTACTTGGGAGCCAGGGGGGCAAGGAAGGGGCAGTGGGGCAGTCACTTTCGATGGTGTTCCCTTCTCCTTTCAGTGCTAAGAGGGGAAGGTGTGAGCTGATTATGAAGCTCAGATTGGATTAGAGAGGAGAATACATAGCAGTCTTGTCTCCCATCAGTGTTGCTCCCTTTCACTTATCCATCCATCTATCCATGTAGCCACCCTTCCCCTCCCCATCCCCCTAGCAGTGACTTAGGCCCCCAGCAGCTTCTTGACAAGGTAGCCTGGCATGCTGTAGAGGAAGAGGCCCACCATGATGAGCAGCAACAGGGCCAGCACTATCTTGATGATCAGCCACTTGTAGCGGTTGCACACCAGGTAGCGGATTGCTTTCAGCGGGCTCAGGAACCAGAGGAAGGTGGTGTCTGGGCGACTGGATGGTTCAGGTGGAGTTTTTAAGAGGATGAAAATAAAGAAATGGTGAGGAAAACATGGAAGTGGAAGGAGTGTTGAGTTAAAGGAGGGTGAGAAGGGGTGAGTAATGGTGGACAATGAAAGGGAGCAAATAAAGAGGAGTAGGACAGAAAGAGAAAGCTGGCGTTAGTAAGCCATGTTGCAATAATATGCATGCTCACGGTTCACATTTCTATCAGTATTATGTTTCACAGGAGCAAAAAAACACATCACAGAGTGGAAGCTTTCTATTATGCAGAATGAGTATGTTGACACATGTAAATGAGTGGATGATGATTGACCAACAGCTCAAAAGACTGACATTTCTGGCAAATGTTTGCAACAGATGCTTATTGCCCCCCACCGCTCCCCATCCTGGAAACCAGAATCCAGAAATATCCTGGATGTAGGCACTCATACAGCTTATAGTGCATTACAATTCACGGGTTTTTTCTCATAAAATGGGATGAGATTTTTTCATATTGTAGATGGCCAATGGACTCGTTTGCCTAGATACGATGTTGAAATGCCCACAAAGTATATGCAAAAATACTTAGCACAACATTACTAAAAAATACAGGAACTCTTTTTATATTTTGTTGCTTGTAAGCAAACAACTACGGTTTAATATGCTTAAATACAGGTTTTATTAATATAATCAATGATATAATTTTCAGGTTTCGGGGTTTTGTCTTTTTCTTTCCTGTGTTTGGTATTTCCCTGTTTTTCTCCGTTTTATTTTGATACTCTTGATACTTTTGAAACTCTGTCATTTCTTGTGACTTTCATTTAATTTTACTGCCTATGTCTTGTTTGAACTTCCTTCAGCTGTGATTTGTTACCCCTGATGTATCAACTTCTCTTGATTACCTTATGTGTGTACTGTATATATAGCTCCATGTCTCCCTATGTCCTTTGTCTGTTTCTCATCATAGTGTAATCCTTGCATTTGTTGATGTTTCTTTGTAGTTTTGCCTCATGGGCTTTGCATTCTTGGAGCCACTATTCAACTACCATTAAACGTTTTGACTTCATTTTGTCATTTTTGGATTAAAAAAAAAATATATATATACATTTTAACCCTCACATCTTTAGAATTATGTAATTTTTAATTTGTCTATACATTTCCCTTCTCTACCAATCATCCCACTTGATAAGAACATGGATATTTCAACCACCTTGTTCACCTTAAGTCAAAGCATCCCTACATGTGTCCATACTAAACAGTTGGTCACAATATGGGTGGTAACAAGATTTATAATGACGCTTGGTGGCAAATGATACTGACTTGCACACAGGGCTAAGACAAGATACAATAAAGGACACAGACGACTAGTCTACTTCTAAGACAACAGAGAAGACTAAGAAACTGAGCTTGGCTGGAAAAAAAGGAGAGGAGCTAAAGTTAAGAGAGAAGAATCCAGGACGCAAAAGGGGCAAAAAGAGAAGCAGATAAAGTGAAGAGGGGGCGGAGGCTACCAGCGCATCAGGCCCCCAGCATCTTCTTGACCAGGTAACCAGGGATTGAGTAGAGGAAGAGGCCCAGCATGAGCAGCAGCAGAATCAGCCCCAAGACCTTGAGGATCAGCCAGCGGTAGTTGTGCCAGATGAAGTAACGAATGGACTTCAGAGGGGTCAGAAACCACATAAGACTGGTGTCCGGGCGACTTTGCGGGAGAAGGAAGAGAAAGAGGGAGGGAAGGAATGCAGTTGAGGCAAATAGGGGGGAGGGTGGGGGGAGGGTAAGGAGAAGAATAACACGCACATGAAAGGGGAGGGATGAGGGGAAAGACAGGGAGACAGTTGAAGAGATGATAGGAGGAGTAACGAGTGTGTAACAGTGGCCTTTTGACAGTGCAGAAAGCAATGCTAGAGGCTAACTGGAAAATGTTTTACATCTTTAAAAAAAATATAGATTTTAAGTGGCAGCACCTTATGATGTTTTAGAAACACTGCTTTTTGCACTGATAGAATGATTTTCCTAAAGATAAAGTTAAACACTTGCTCATGTCTGTCTTTTTCTGTTCCAGACAAGCGTTCAAATTTTTTAACTCTGAAACCAGTGTGTGTGTGTGTGTGTGTTTGTGTGTGTGTGTGTGTGTGTGTGTGTGTGTTTGCAAAACACAAGTTCTTGTATATATATTTTTTAAACATAACCCGTTAATATCTTACTTTGGTTTTTCCAGTGGATCTGGCTCATTTCGTCCCAGTCCTACAGGGCTTTTCTCTGCTTCCTCTGCTGTCACTAGGTGAAGCTCAGCTTCAACTTTCCCCTGTAATGACATTGAAAACAGAACTCAAAATAAAGAAGTCCTACCACATACAAAATGCTGACTATAAAATATCTGTTTGGGGGTAAAGAGGATATTCATGTAGTATAAGAATTTAAATGAAAAAACATTTTCTTTTCCTCTACTTTTTTAATCTGAAGGACTTTTAGAAGATATCATATATTGTGAAC